TCCGCTCCCGTTCCACAGTCCTTCGACCATCTCCAAAGACTGTCATCAGTGGTTACCATCCAGCTCGTTCCGATCTCCACCTGTGAAGGACATTATAGTTATTCATCAGCTAAGTTCCTTTCATCTGATCATCACTGTGTTCAACTTACCATTTACATCTGCTGGCTTCCGTGCTTCTGTTCAAAATAAACATCTGTTATATTTTACTCACCTGTATGCTTCATCACTATCCGTGACAGAAGATCAGACCACATGCAGAATCCCACAGAGCCCGCTATGGATCCACCCCGCGATCCGTTTGCTGAGTTGGTTCACGCTGTCAGAATGTCTCTTCATGAACAAGGTATTCAGGGATTTCCTCAATCGATTTGTGGTGGTTTACATAGATGACATCCTCATTTATTCCCGGAACCTCTCAGAACATCACCAGTACGTTACGCAGGTCCTAGAGAAGCTTTGACACCATCAGCTTTATCTCAAACTCGTAAAGTGCGAGTTCCACACCACCTCAGTCCACTTCCTAGGGTACGTCATCGATCAACACGGCATACAGATGGACCAGAGGAAGGTGGACACCATCCGGAATTGGCCTCAACCCACTACTGTTAAGGAAATCCAACGTTTCCTAGGATTTGCTTTTTTCTACCGAAGGTTCATCAACAACTACAGTCTCATCAGCTCACCCATGACTTCCACCCTCAAAGGCCGGCCCAAGTCTCTGTCCTTGACCTCCGAATCCTTCCATCGATTGAAAGAAGCCTTTCAGTCCGCTCCGATCCTGGTCCATCCTAATCCTGATCTTCCCTTCATCATCGAAGTTGATGCCTCTTCTGTCGTGGTCGGAGCGGTTCTATCACAGTGGCAGGGTGATCCTCCTTAACTCCATCCATGTGCCTTCTACTCTAGGAAGCTCTCCTTGGCGGAGCAGAACTACGACATCGGTAACACAGAACTGCTTGCCATCAAATTGGCCCTAGAGGAATGGAGACATTGGCTGGAGGGAGCTGTTCACAAATTTGCAGTAATCACGACCACCGTAATCTGGAATATCTAAGAGAGGCTAAGAGACTGAATCCCCGTCAGGCCCGATGGCCGTTATTCTTCACACGGTTCAACTTCACCGTAACCTACTGCCCTGGAATCAAGAACTGTAAAGCTTATGCTCTTTCCCGTCTTCACAAAACTACTCCAGACAAAACCCATCCGGAACCCATTCTCCCTCCAGCCATGTTCGTCAATCCCATTACATGGGATATCGATGAGCAGATCTCTTAAGAAAATCATGCCAACCCTGCTCCGCCAAGAGGTTCAGAAGGGCTCACCTACGTTCCACCTCCTCATCGTTTGGCCTTTCTGGACTCAGCTCACACATCTCCGGGCTCTGGACACCCAGGTAGCCGGCGTACCCTCTCGCTCTTTTTTGACCGATCTTCCGAAGTCAAAGAATTCCACTTGCGTCTTCGTCGTCGTGGATCATTACTCCAAGGCCTGCAGATTGATACCCATGCCCGGTCTACCAACGGTTTTCGAAGCCACCGAGGCTCTGTTTCAGCAGGTGTTCAGAAACTTCGGCATTCCCGAGGATATTGTGTCCGACCGTGGCCCCCTGTTTCTCCGTAAGTCTCTTCGGGATACCATCCTCAAACCAACGGCCAGACTGAGCGCACAATCCAAGAGATCGGGAGATACCTGAGGTCCTATTGCCACCAGAACCAGAACAGCTGGAGCCAATACCTCCCCTGGGCAGAATATGCACAAAACTCTCTTCGCCAATCCACCACTGGGCTCATCCCGTTCCAGTGTATGTTAGCATACCAACCTCCGCTGTTTCCCTGGTCGGGTGAGCCCTCGGAGATTCCAGCTGTCAACCACTGGTTCGAGCAGAGCGAGAGGGTTTGGGACTCAGCTCACGTTCATCTACAACGGGCAGTGCGGAGACACAAGACTAAAGCTGATCGTCATCGTTCTACTACTCCGCTGTATCAACCCAGACAAAAAGTATGGCGCTCAACACGGGACATCCGTCTTCGCCTGCCCTGCCGTAATCTGAGTCCTCGATATACATCGGACCTTTCACTGTGCAGAGGCAGCTCAACGAAGTCACCTACAGGCTCAACTTACCACCTCACTTTAGAATTTCACCTTCCTTCCATGTGTCACTCCTGAAACCTCCCACTGAACCTGTCTCTCCTCCTCCCACAGATCTTGGTGATGCCGATGTACCTCCTCCTCCCAACCTTGCCAAAGAGGAACCTATCTACCGGGTTCAAGACGTTCTGGATTCGCGACGACGTGGTGCCAGATTAGAGTACCGAATCGACTGGGAGGACTTCGGACCAGAGGAACAATCATGGGTCCCACGTGACGATATCCTCGATCCAGCACTCCTCATCCAATTTCACACCGAAAATCCAAATCGTCCAGCTCCCAGGGGTCGTGGCTCGTGGTAGACCTCGTCGTCATCGTCACCATCTTTCTACCCAGTCGTCAGGAGCCGCCCGTGGAGGAGGTGGTACTGTCACAACTCCACCAGATCTACAGACTCCTCCCACTAGTTCACTCTCCCCTGATTACTGATTCACCACACCTGTACCTCGTCACCTGTTCACTATATAACATTTACTTGCACCTCACATCCTTGTCTGATCTCATCTTTCCATGGACACAGACTCTACCTCAATCCTTACCTGTTCCACTTACCTGCTATCCTCGTCATCCGCTCCCGTTCCACAGTCCTTCGACCATCTCCAAAGACTGTCATCAGTGGTTAACATCCAGCTCGTTCCGATCTCCACCTGTGAAGGACATTATAGTTATTCATCAGCTAAGTTCCTTTCATCTGATCATCACTGTGCTCAACTTACCATTTACATCTGCTGGCTTCCGTACTTCTGTTCAAAATAAACATCTGTTATATTTTACTCACCTGTCTGCTTCATCACTATCCGTGACAGAGGCAGTTTATGAATGGGTAATTTAAACTTTGACTCAACCGATTCGTTCAAAACGCTGAATCATTCAGTAATGAAACACGGCTGAGTGTTCCGTTGAGTTGCACGATGGTTCTGCTGTGATCTTTGTTTGGAACTATTTTTGCTGCTATTTTCGCAGCTTTGTTTATTGAACTGTTATGAAATCATTGTCTCGGTTTCAATCGTGATGGTATTCCGGAAAACAGCACTCTGGTGTGATGTTTCTTAACTGTATAATATGTTATAAATAATTTTGAGCCTCAACAGCGCAACTTTGTTGCCGTCAGTAGGCCTACATTAGGTAGGCCTATATTAATATCAACTATAGGCTAGGGGTGTGCACGAATATTCGATCTGTAATTATTATTAAAAAAATAAAATACTATTCGAATTTTACTAAGTTGCTTTGCTGGCCGTAAATGCAGTGAATTCATGATAAATCCCAAGCACTAACTTGCAATTATAATTAAATGCACTGGGTGGCACCGTGGAGCGTGTTTAACAAGTTGTTTGTATTTGATCACATAATGTTGTCGTCTGCCTCGCGAAGTTTGAAATTAGGCTACTCAGATGAAAATTCTTACTAAATGATCTTACAAAATGGAATTACTTTTGATCAAATTAATTAATGAATCTGAGTTATCATAATATCCCCACCATGAGAAATCACATGAAATCCAAACACCACTCGACTGAGGAAAGACAGCTGTCAATCACTGCATCCCGACTGCAGGTAAAGCGCAGCTGTATAGCCTACCCCGAGTGATCCGAGATAACTTATCTTATAGCTTAATGAGTTTGAGACATATGCTTCCTTTAAATTTTGTTGAGGGAGACAGGTTTAAGAACAGAAAACATAAAGTGCTGTCAGAAACTTTGCTTAGAACACCGTTATCTTTGTCTCTGCAACGTCTGTCAGCGCAGCATGTTTTCTCACTCGAGCTTGTGAATATTATTGTTTTCTCAACATGAACGTGAAACAATATAAACACGATAACCATATTCTGACTCGGCCTGTACGATAACTGGCGTAGTCTGCTTTATCAGCGTTTTTTTTCTCTCCGTTAGCCTGCTTGAGCCTAAATGCTTTTCTTGAGAAGTACAATTCTCTTACACTTGTCCCTTCAAAAAACACACGTGTCACGGTCGAGCCCTGATATGTTTTCCTTGATTGGTTTTCCCTGAAGAAAATTACGTTGTTGAAAACGAAAGTAAAAGAGTGATGCACGTTCATTGCGTTTTACCGTGATGAGAGTTCTGTGTCTTTATTAAACTTAACACATCATAATGATTTATCTGTCATCCACCCTCGATTAATTGGAATGTTGTGTTTTATTACTTGGCCCGCCCGACCCGCGGATTATGATCTGCGCAGTACTATCGGCAAACTATACGGTTTGAGAATGGACACAGGCCGGGAACCCGCAACAGAACCGTCGCGGTGGAAAAAGTGTATCTGAGCATGTGACTCTGTCTGAGTTTTGTCGAGAGCCGGAGGCGGCACGAAACTTGACGGAGGTGCCCGCCTCGTAATTCTCTATGCAGGAAAAACCCTGATATATATATATATATATATATATATAATAAAAATATCGGCTTTATATCGGCCACCCCGCTCTCTAAGATATTGGCATCGGCCATTAAAAATCCAATATCGGTCGACCACTAGTGTGGACACTTAGCTATTATATATATATATATTTTTTTCTTTTCTGTTCTTTTTTTGGGAACAGGCCTTAAACGTGTTAAGAGAGAATCACACAAAGGTAAAAAAAAATTTTCACGATTTCTCACAACTTTTGTCAAATCAACTTAGATTCACTAAAGTTCAGATAACATAATAATTTGAGTTTCTGTCAATTACCAATTTCATTCTTTGTTTTAAATTTTAGTCTCAATGAACTCAAAATTTTAAGGCAACCAAGTTACTTGATTTTTTACGTTAAACCATGAATCATTTTTTACAGTGTTCAGTGCAGTCTACTTATTTATTCATGAATAACTTTAGGCCTTTGTAGATGAGGGTACCTCGACATGTGACTGTATCCTGAAGTGTTCCCAAGATATATCCATCCTTACAGACACAAATGAAACTCCCAAAAGTGTTCCTGCACGACTGGCGTTCTGTGCAAGTGTGGGAGAGACCGTCACACTCATTTATGTCTACAAAAGACATAACTGATTAGTAGATGGTATACGAAAATCAGAAGATAAAATGATCATTTCAATTATATGCCACATATAGTTCTATCATAGGAACAATTTGAATGCTCATGCAACAATGTACCCTTTTCACTGCAAATTTAATGTATGTTTATAACACTATTTTGTATTATATTACCTTGGCATTAAATAACAGAAAACTAGTTAACACTGCTCCGTGAGAATAATTCTGTTTTTTTCTTTTGTAAAGTCATAGAAACGCTTTTGCTATTGGTGCAAATGAAAAAGCGAGTAAATGAAAGGCTCCCTGAAAGTTTGCAACAACATTACTCGAATTTGCTGCAATGTTCTTTGCTCAATGTTAATTTGTGACCTTTACATTTCCAGGGGTGTCAAACTCACAGCCACAGCCCTGCAGAGTTTAGCTTCAAGCTTAATTAAACACCCCTGATCAGCTAATCAAGTCCTTCAGGCTTATTTGAAAACTGCAGGTTGAAGCAGGGTTGGAACTAAACTCTGTAGGGCTGTGGCCCTCCAGGAACTGAGTTTAACACCTGTGCATTAGACTGTCATCTATAGGGTCATAAACACAGTGGCTAGTAATTTCCATAATGAAAAGAGAAAAGTAGTTTAAAGTGGCTCTGCAGTGACAGAAAATGTGTAAAAGTCTCTAACAAGCCCAACTTCATATGCTGAACGAACAATGGTCTGCCTTATCATATTCTACATTTCATTTGGATGAGGACTTCTTACTATTGTTATCTACAGGGTCACTGTACAATTTTAGGACCTTCTGAACAACCGATAAATGGTCTGGGCTGGAGAAGAGTATCATGAACATTAGGGTGAGGGTTTGCTAATGACAGACTTTCTGGCTGTGTAGGTAGGAGCCATTAGCTTGCTATGTGGGGGTTGCTGAAATGTCCTGTATGCTGCATGGGAAGCTGTCTCCCCACCTGTTCTCAGCAGATGCCAAAAAGATATTTTTTGGCATATGCTGCTTCACCTCACTCCAACAATTCTGACAGTTCAAAGGAGGCCATTGTTACACCATCCCTTACCTAGCGACAATGTGCATTTTGATTTCTCCCCCTCCAAGTAAAAATGGCACATATCTGTAACAGTGCCATTTATGCATTTATATATCCAATCATTGTCCAAGTAGGACTCACTGACCTTAGGTACATTAAATTTGCCCAATTTCATAAATAAGTCTACCTACAACATAGTACATAATAAAAAGTTTAAAAATATGTCTATAATGGAGGTTCAAACTAAGTTTAACACATTGAAAGTTGAGATAAGGCAACACTAGAAATGAGGGATCACCTTTGCACGTTCTGTTATCTGAAGCCAAGTGGAGCCCTGGAGGACACGAACAGCCCACTTCACCTTCTCTCTCAATCTGGCAACCAAACTGGCAGCGAAGAGAGGTGCAGTCCAGTTCATCTGGAAAGCAAATAAAATAATAAATCAAAAAAAGGGGGGAAGCCTGGAAAAAGTAACACACATACACACTCTGATAAAGTACCTTGATACCTACAGTACCTATAATTAGGACACATGTAAATATAGAGTGTATTGAGGTAATTTTTCACTTTTATCATGAATCTGGCAACCATTTGGTTCACCAAAGATAATTTGCCTTACTGATGCAGGATTTTCCATCAGTGTCCAGCATGTATCCATGATTGCAGAAACAACGGTAACTCCCCATAGTGTTCATGCATCTGTGGGAACAGGGCCTTTTAGGTAGGCCACATTCATTGATATCTGTAGTAAAAAGAATATGCAAAAATAAAAATAAATGTTCATTTGTATATTATCTGTACACTACAAACTAACTGATCATAATATAGCAATGAATTGTGATACTTTCAATAGTTCAAATGGGTCATATTGCATACATATTGGCACCTAAAACAATTTGTTTTTGATTACATTTTCCCCTTACACTGTAAGGGGTCATTCACACAGAACACATCTTTGCGTCTAAACACGCTCAGGAATGATTTTAAAAAAGCACAGACACAGAGCGCGAGGGTCTCAAGATGCACTTTTGAGATGTGAAGCAATAATGGAAATAACAGAAATAGCCAAACAACAGATTAGATAGCTACTTTTTTGGCATGAATTAAAAAGAAGAAAATAGCACTAATATGGCATAACTATGGCATTTGACCTTGATCAAAATTGTGTCACTGCTCAGAGAACGACGGGACAGAGATTTGTTTAGGTTCACCCCGTCCTTTGACGCTGTCAAATAAAACCGTTACCACGTCAACTTGCTACTGTAAACAAAAGCTTGCAACCCTTGCCCTGCCTCCAGGCTCTTCTGATTGGTCCACTGTTTTGGAACTGACATTGATGAGGGGTGCTACATGTAAAAGTTGAAATTCCCTTTCGAAAGGGAACTTGCGCTGCGTCCCCTAGAGGGTGCTATGGGGGAATGCCTCTGGCATGACCGGTGTCTGAAGCATGAGTCTTAACACAACAATGAACTTGACATTGGCAGGCGGCAGCCTATGACATCACCACTGGTGTGACCGTGAGTGTAAAGGGGCACCTGTGAAATACGTCATCCTCTTTCTTGGCTAAACAAGGATTATGGCTAGCACTAGCGTTAAATCCTTCAAGATGTTTGTGCATCCGTGTCAGCTGATTTCACACATGATATGTGCGTCATTTGCATGTTCAAGGAGCGTGCACGCTCAGTCCTTGAGGGGGCTGTTTGTGTGCATTATGAGCGCTTCTCTATGAAGAAACATCGCTCTCGTCTGTCCCTTTTCTCGAAGGAATTGGGACAGCCATATGTGCCTCGGTTCAGGACCTGCTTCGGCTAAGGCGAGTAGGAGACTGAGGTTGTGGGGCTCGCAGGTGGAGTTCGTGGATGAGTTCGAGAAAGGTATGAATATTTCTCATTCATCTGCGGCTGACGAGACTGAGCTGCCAGATTATGATAATGTGTTGTCTTTCAGGTCACCTGATCCGGCAGCGCGCGCTCCTGGCTTCGAGCCAAGAGAAGAAGGGCGAGTCTAATGAGCCTTCTTAGTGTTCTCAGCCCACCTGTCCTGCATATGATGAGTTACTGGAAGTTATGTCCAGCGTGAAGCGCGAGTTCGCTCATAGTCGCTTGGATGAACTTTTTTTTTGTCAGGACACAACCATACAGCTCATACGAGCCTTCCCATTCTCCCACATCTACATGCTGAGGTGGCAGACTGATCTCATGAAATGGCGTATGTATGACACGCCAATTCGTATTTCCATTTTTGGCGTGCTATCAACACGCATAATCGCTTTTCAGCGTGTTTATGAACGCCTTTGACTTAACGTTACTGTATTATATATATATATATATATATATATAAATATATGGACCTACCCCAACCCCGTCCCTAAACCTACCCGTCACTGGGGTTAATAGCATTTATGAGTCTTCTCCTACCATCCTAGGAAAAGAAATATCGCTCCACAGATGTAGATATAGATTTTGCTTCGTTTCGCTCGGACATTTAACGGCGTACACATACACGCGGAATCACTCGGACATTTAACGGCGTAGACATACACGCAAAAGATTTCGGCGTGGACATACACGCGGATAGTTCAAAATGCGTATAGATAACACGCCACTTGACTTGAAAGTGGCGTGTATGTTTACGCAAAGTCATGATGTCATGTTGGAGGTGGAGAGATCTTGGGGAAAGCCGTATTCAGCCTGCATCCATCACACTCAAGCTAATTATGCTAATGTGGAGGGGATGCAGGAATATGGGTATGTGTCGATTCCTCGATCAAAGAGACGTGAAGCCAGATGGAGAAGGAAAAACCTGAGGGAAATGACCCAAAATAAACGTGCCAACCTTTCTAGAGTCCCAAAGGCTAAATAACATCTGCCTCATACTTCAGACACCGGTCATGCCGGAGGCATTGCCCCATAGCGCCCTCTTGGGGACGCAGCGTCTCGTTCCCCTTCTCAGGGAACCATGGTTACATGCGTAAACTGAGACGTTATTTTAACTTCGCTCATGTGCGAGATGCTGCAAAAGACATGTGATACACGTCAGTCTAGCGCGTGTTTACATAGAAAAAACAATGGAAAAGTAGCGCATTGGAATGGAAAAATGCGTTCTGTGTGAACGGCCCCTTAAAAATTCCACTTTATTCACTCATTTCCTGTAAGGTTGGGATTCTTCAAGATATGCAGAGAGATAGGTGCTACACAGCCAATAAAAGCATACTTTTTTATTTAAAAAATAAAGCATATTCCTCATAATATCACCCTTTAAAATCAATGCTATTTGAAACTTTATACTATCTACCTTACCTTCGTTGCAGTATTTGCCCTTGTAACCCTTCATGCATGAGCACCGGTTAGGCCCAACACAGAATCCATTTTCACAGGGCTTTTTACATGTTGCTAAAATTACATAATAGTTTTAATTAAGTCACTGATAATTTTTAAAAAAATATATATTTTCCATCAGCACTATTGAATTGTTAGAGATTATAATTAGTCTACATAATCTATATCATTGGATTATTCTAAGGCTTTTAAGTATCTTATGAGTATGATTTAGCTTGTTAGTCAAAAATACAGGTATAGGCTAATACTAATCAGAATAATTATATTGCTCACGTTGGCAAACACCATTAATGTTCCTCCATCCATTGCAGCAGGACACAGAGAGCCCTGGCTTTCTTTGTTCTGCTGGCAGGTCTGGCTTTATCTGGAGTCTGTCAAAAGATTGAATATCGTCAGTTTCTAAATGAAAGTCATCTAGTCCAGGGCTGTACGTTAACCTTTTTTTGCACATAGCACTGGTGTCACCATCTCTGAAAACAATTACAAATAGTGCAGTTCATCACTTAAGCAGTATTGACTGAGCTTATGATCTTATGACTGACAAAGGACATTAATGTTCCATTCAGGGCACACAAAATCCAAACCTTAGTAAGAAATGTTTTCCAAAAATGGCAGACTGCAGGAAAATAATACCCCTTGCTTAACATTAAGTCAATCACTAATCACAATCCAAGTCACATCCATCCGTTTTGGTTGAGCACTTGAAAATTCCATCTAGTTTAACCAACATTCATATATTTTACATATCTTTCTCCAATTATTTTTAAACATGTTTAACTCTAGATCTTTGTTTTGGCATAGAAAAATAAAAAAGTTCATCTTTTTTATCATCTTTTTATGTTTTGAGATCAGTGTGGATCGAGATGACATTCAGATGTCTTCAAAATCAACATGTTAGAAACTTGTATTTAATGTAGAATATCCACATATTAACCGTTAACGATAATAATGAAATCTTCAATAAACAGCTTATGAAAAACAGGTTGTTCTTAGCACCGAAAAATAGCCTTTTTGTAGATGAAGGATACAAAAAAACCTTCATTTTTTTGTTTGCATACTATAGTCATGTAGGATTGTAGGCTTCAGCTTCAATAAACAATTTTTGGGTGAAATATTTATTTTTATTTCTACTCACCTGTTGGGAATGGCTACGTCAGGAACTACAAAGAGAAGTCCAATTATGAAGAAGTGTTGATGGATACGACCCTTTAAACAGCTTTTAAATGGCATCATATCAAGTGAAGTTAGACATAATATTTTATTTCAGTAGACATCGAAAAGCACTTCCCTTACAGCTGTTTTACCGTCTAGAAGAAGATTCCTTTGTGTCAGACGTGACAAAAGACAGTCCCTGATAAATCCCTGACAAATAGATGGGAATTGTGTGTGCAAGTGTAGACAGGTCATGTCACCTGTGTGCAGATGAAAGGAGACTCTGTGGTGGGAAGCAACTGTGTCCGGAACTGAAGACGGTCAGTCTGTTAGGTTCGCCATCTACACTGTCAGCATATCTCATATTGTCATACATAAAAATAAAAACACCATTACAGTATGACTTCTTTAGATTGTACTGAAAATAACAACATTGTATTTTTGTTTCACACAACAAAAATTAGTTTGAGATCAAACAATAATTTGCAGACCCATTGCATCGCCATGGACCCCTTAGATAGTGTCAGGCTCGAGGAAGACACTTGCTCTGTATTGTTCTTCTAGAGAAGGTGGTTTTATTGGAGTGAATCGCCCCCTCATGTGTGCCGCCATGTTGATACCACATGACTTGCCATTTCGTGCAATTCACTAGTTACTAATAATAATATGTTTTCTTTATACGAGGCACTTTACAATGCATTAACAATATAAATAATACACCAAAAATAATATACAGCCTGCTGCATAGTCCGGAGTGATGGCATGGATTACCATGTGTGCAATTCAGTGGTCCAAACAGTATGAGTGGAAAAATAGAACGTCCAAACAATAGTGAATCCAAACACATGACACACAGCAAATTGGCTCTGTCCAACACACATTCGCTGCTGGAAGAGAGCTCATGTATGTTTGTACTGTGAGACTGAGAAAAGGAACAAAACAAAAAGATAGGGCTATATAAAATTCAGAAATGGCTCGCTTTTAGTTCATGGGTGTAAATCGAATTGGCCACAAAGGTGAATTTGAATTGGAATGACAGGAAAAGGAATTTACTGAACTGTAATTCTAGGAAACAAAGTGAAATAAACATGCATTCTGGTACGTGGGAGTGTATTTACTTTGCGTTGTTTGGGAAGAGGTGTATATATTCGTGGTCTAGTTTTCCCTGGTGTGTTTCTTTCTCTCTCTTTCTCGTT